AAGAGTGGGCGAAAATTCCACAATCAAGAATTGACGAGATGATTTTCACGATGCCCCAAAGGATCAACGAACTCGACGAAGCGAAAGGAAGGTCTATTAGATATTAATTGAATTATGAATATATCAATTCATGTGAATATGACTGAAAAATTCCATTTTTCTGAAAAGGTGGTGTCTATTTACTTGTGTGTATATATATTCCATAGCACGTTACTGCAGTTTCGCATTTATTGCATAAATACTTTACATAAAAAATCATATATGATGTAGCGGTGTAGTGTTTCTTCTTATCGTCGCTTGGATGCATTTATTAAGAAAATAATGCCATTTAAAAATTTCAGAGAAGTATAGGTGTTTTTAACAATTGTGCTGACATTAGAATAGGAAAAAATATTAAAACCATGGTCATAGACGTAAATGAATGTTTTATTATATAATTTGAAAACAAACATTCTGTACCCCAGGATTTTATTATATAATTTGAAGACAAACGTTCTGCATACCAGGGTTTTATTATATAATTTGAAGACAAACATTCTGTACCCCAGGATTTTATTATATAATTTGAAGACAAACGTTCTGCATCCCAGGGTTTTATTACATAATTTGAAGACAAACATTCTGTACCCCAAGGTTTTATTATATAATTTGAAGACAAACATTCTGTACCCCAGGGTTTTATTATATAACTTGAAGACAAACATTCTGTACCCCAGGGTTTTATTATATAATTTGAAGACAAACATTCTGTACCCCAGGGTTTTATTATATAATTTGAAGACAAACATTCTGTACTCCAGGGTTTTAAAGAACTCGATGGATGCTACTTATCCCAACTACGGACCTTTACCACGATTTCGAATTGAAATGGCGATCTTCTACGTTGTCTTCTTTATTGTTTTTCCATTCTTCTTCGTCAACATATTCGTGGCCTTGATCATCATCACTTTTCAGGAGCAAGGGGAAAAGGAGCTTGAAGAAGGAGAGCTAGATAAAAATCAGGTATTGTCTTTAGCATTTGAAAGTTGGATTTTACGAATCATCTGGTCAAATGTGGTTTATGAATATCGATAAATGAATGTTAAAATTAGCACAATATAAAACAGTAGCAGACTTAGTTTTGATTGAATACAACACTCTTTAGTTTGTACTTATTAATTCGAAGTGACATTATTTGTCCATGAAGAAATTTGAGATGTAAGTTTCTAGTTTTAAGACAAACAAAACAAATCGTTTATCCCAGGAAAAGTAATTGTTTTTTCACTTTACATTAATGTAACATACGAGACCTGTTTCTAACAAAGTGAAATGTTGTACAAGAATATACTTTTTATATAGATAGTTCTTGATTTAACATATCTGCAGATGCGCCGTTGGTATTTAATGCACCATGATCTGTAACATGTTGTTACATAACACTGGAGTTTGCCTTTCAAGATTACATTTATAATGTACTCTTTTCTTCGCCCTAAAACTAACAAAATATTTTGTTGAACAGGTCCAAGTATTGATAAAATCAATTACATCTTCATTAGTATTCATTTTGAATATAGGTAGTGAAACCTTAGAATAAGGATTATAATGTATGTACTTCTCTCTAAATGAAGTCAAACGTTACTATTAAACAGAGACTATGACGTAGATGTCATTGTTTAAATGAAATCTTTATCATAAAATCATAACTTTACTCTTGGGTAGAGACTTTGATGTAGATATGATTAGGTAAATATTACTTTGAAATTTGAATAAATTTGCAACAACATTTATCATATTTTTTTATTGATAAGAAAGACCAAAAATAAAAACACACAGAAGCTGGACATGAAAAACTACAAATATTCTAACTACCTTGTGTTATATTTATTTCAGAAATCTTGTATTGATTTTGCGCTTCAAGCCAAACCATTACAAAGGTATATGCCAAAAAACAAAGATGGCGCTAAATACAAAATCTGGTCTGTCGTCGTTTCTACTGCGTTCGAATATCTCATAATGGTGCTTATTGTACTCAATACTATACTGCTCATGATGAAGGTAAGCCGACTAGGGTTCGAGTACGTTAAGGTATAACTGTACATTTAGGGTTTCTATTCTGTTGTGCTTGATTTTGAAATTTAAACATATATGAGCAAATTTTATTTATCTGTTCGTTTTCTTGTTGTTGTTATTATGCCTCACTTATACAATTATTCGTGTAAATATTAGCCAAATTTGATAGATTAACATTTCGAAATTAAAATGGGCATGTCTCTAAAAGGGAGCATCATATAGTCGTAAGATAAACGTATTTTTTATAAGATGTCAAGCGTAAAACAAAAAAAACATTCGTTCATGATCAATCACATAATTAAAGTTTTGTTTTTAAGTACTTGTAGAATGTTTTACAAAACATTACATCTATCAATTTAAGTTGATGAGGTGAAATATTCATGTAACAATCTTCACGCGTGATCATATATTCTGGTAACAGATTAAAGCTTAAACGTGCATAGGTAAAAATTAAGCCTAATGTGTTCGAACACAAAAAGAAGTCCTGGTTTTAAAACGTCCGTGGTGAAAATAGTTTTTGTAGCTGGAAACATTCTACAGTTTTTTTCATATTGTTAGTTACAATTCAACCAATTGAAACTTTGGTTAGTTTTGGAAATGTTAAGTGAGAGTGCCCTACATTAGGTACATGTTCATGTTTTGCATTTTTATTTCAAAAGATGGCGTTTTATATACAAATAAGGTATGCATTATTGAAGTAACCATTTTCTTTATTGAGACTAAGTTGTTCTTTATTTTATAAAAAGTTTAAGAAATGTTACATATTTTTTAAAACTTAACTTTACCAATAGAAATAGTTTAAATTTTTTAATCAACAGGCTTCTAAAATAAATAAATTTTAGTGTTTGCACTTTATTTGAATTAGATAAAAATATTCGTAACGTTTCAAAGTGTTTAACGATATTATATATTTTCTTTATTCACTTTTTAATATATTTTTTTATTATCAGATCTAACATAAGAAGGAACTTATGTTAACCCTTACAGTGAGGAAAGAATATGAAGAGCAATATTAATACAAAACTCATTGTTGTCTTCATTGTTACCAAAAATCCTGTCTACTGCATAGTTTAGTGTCGCAAAAGCTTGGCTTTAGAGTAGATAGTATGAAGAGCTTATTCGTATGGTAGATGTAGAGCATGAATTGTGTTTGGTACGTCATACCTTTTACCTATTGGTTGCTTTGACCCAGAAACTACAATTGAATATGTTTGGTTATGTACAGAACTATAGGTGGGTTTGTCAACTGTTAAGTGGATACGCAATGTACTGATGCACGAAATACTTGGTTTTGGTTTATATATGCATTATGTTAGTACTGTAATGTAAGTTGTTGTTTTTTATTTCACCGTCAGCGTAGCAATAGAAATACGGCATTCTCACGGATCGAAATAATAAACGAATAAAACTGAATATAGTGTTATGTTTTCAAATTAAACAGACATTAGTGAAATAGTAACTAATTATATTTTATAGTCACTGAGTAAATATTAGTCTATATAATAAATAAGGTCTAGGCTGATTTTGGACAAAATACCAAATAAAGGGTTCTGTTTTTTCCCTCTTTAATTAATAAGTTCATTACGTCTAATATTACGCATCAATGTACAATGATAATTAATAAATTGCTTTAATATGCACCTTACACAGTTATTTGTTGTAAGCAGATTAATACAGTATTGAAAATAATTTTCGAGTGCGTATTAGGCTCTTAACGTTTTTGAAAAATCCATCATAAGAAAGGCACAATATCATTTTTGAAAACTAAATGAAATCTCTCAGATATTCCTGACTGAGAACTAAAATGCTTTTAGTTTGATTAAGGACTTAACTCCATTAATCCTGAATATATTCTTAGTCTGATGGTAAAAAACGCGAAATTATGGGGAAAAGTCCTTAACTGATTAGAATAGTTTATGGTATGACTTTCAGAGACCTTCAAAACATTTATGGTCAGATTAGTATTGTGATAGTGCTGCTTTAAATACAGGATTTCTAGAATAATACAAAGGCATTATAATCGCAGACACCGAAATAAGTATGTGCTCTTGTCTTAGGCCTAACATTATTTAAACCTTTATTAAGTACGGCCAATATTTGATAAAGAGATAAATTAACACTTTAACTTGCGTACGTTTTTTTTTTTTTTGCTTTAGTTTGGTTAGGGCTAAACTTTACTATACTTAATAATATCAATAAATAATCTTAAGTTTTATTCTACGACCTGACGTTAAACCGTTTTTAAAACTTTGATAAGCCTATAATTTGTTATTGAAAAAAATAAGTACTAAATTGTATCTACATCTGTCTTTTCTTCACATGCGCATTTAGATTGTAAGATGCGCACGCATGTTCAGAGCAGACAAAAACTGAGTATTATTGTAATAGACTTAGAGATGTAAATATTAGTACAGTTGAAATCCTTATCACTTGCGGTACTTTGTGCTATTGGGAAATAGTAAAATCTTTATTGGTTTTAATATTTTGTGCTATTGGGCAATAGTAAAACCATTAGCGGTTTCGGTACTTTGTGTTAATAGGCAATAGTGAAATCCTTATAGGTTTTGTATAATTATGCACAGACTAGGAATTATGCTGAAACAATTATTACGTTTTCACTGTGCATTTTGCATGGTCACATATTAGGAATGAGGAATGATTACCATTTGAAATTAAAAACCACCACTCTGTAACAAAGTTGTGATTAATATATTGAATGTTACCCGCGAATATTAAGGTTGGAACTTCACTCAGGACTTGAAGGTTACTGATTAGTAATAATCTACACAAGTTTTCTTAGGGATCTTCAACTGACTATAAATTCATTACTTGACAGTTTAAGCAATATGAACGCTACGTCTGACGGTGAAAATGATTCAAATTATTGAGCCAGATCAAACCAGCATGTCGGTTCATAGTACTGGAACGTAGCCTGCATGTAAGTAGCAAATGTGTAACGGTGAGCATGGTTTGAAGTTCAAAATTGGGTTTTTAAGTCATGTAATCCACTTTTTTTAACCTTCATGGTACGATATGGTTTGTTCTTTTTTCACTTGTTATTAATTATTCTTTATTCGTTTCTTTTTCTGTCTGTATTTTTTGCTTGTTTGGTTAATTGGTTTAAAACTATAAATTATATTCCGATGTCATTCCTTCCCTAAGTACACCTTCCTATAACACCAATTACACACCAAGGTTTAGCTTCTGAAAACACTGCTTCCAATTTAACCATAATAAAATGTGTTTCATGATGGTTCATATTAATCATCACATTTATGTTGAACATTGCAAAGTAATATGTTTAAACATTTATACATCTAGAAACATTATGATTTGCATATACAATGAAGGGAATGTATTGGATGTAAACTTTAAAGCGCTAAGCAATGCTAGTCGAAAAAAACCTACATAAAGTTATTTTATTACAATAAAAAATAAAAAAATATTACACTCTCAACTACAGTCAATTATAAATACTTAAAATGCAACTTTGTATCAGTTTTAATAAAATATAAAACATTTTAATGTACAATGTAATTAAGTGTAACATACATCACAATATATACTGTAATAAACTATAACACACACCATAATGTACACTTTAATTAACTATAACGCACGTAACAATGTACACTGTAATAAACTATAACACACACCATAATGTACACTTTAATTAACTATAACGCACGTAACAATGTACACTTTAATTAACTATAACGAACGTAACAATGTACACTGTAATAACCTATAACAGCCACAACAATGTATACTATAATAAACTATAACATACACCTCAATGTACACTGTAATAAACTATAACATACACCACAATGAATACTATAATAGACTATAACATACACCACTGTGTACGCTATAATAAACTATAACATACACCACAATGAATACTATAACAGACTATAACATACATCACAATGTACACTATAATAAACTATAACATACACCATAATGTATACTATGATAAACTATAACATACACTATAATGTACACTGTAATAACCTATAACAGCCACAACAATGTATAGTATAATAAACTATAACATACACCACAATGTACACTATAATAAACTATAACATATACCACAATGTACACTGTAATAAACTATAACATACACCTCAATAAATACTATAATAGACTATAACATACACCACAATGTACACTATAATAAACTATAACTTACACCATAATGTATACTATGATAAACTATAACATACACCACAATGCATACTATAAGAAACTATAACATACACCATAATGTATACTATG